TCTAAACTTCACGAGATACTTCGCCATGTCCTCGCCTACTACGAACGGTGGCAATTGGTCCCGAATTCTATAACCGCTGACCTGAATCGTCGGAGAAGCTACGCTAGGCGCCTGCGAACACTGTAGGATTGCCAATTTTATTCGTTTCAACTCGAGGCGCTCCGGTCTCTCGGCCTCCTCGCAAACTTCTCGCCTTTATGCTTCTTCACGTTCACGAACTTCTCGCCTTTCAACCTCCTCGCGGCGTGCTTTGATATCCTCCCAGGCCTCATCGACTTCCTCAGCCAAAACTCCTTCATCTCTCAAGGTCTCAAGGATCGCTTGCTTTCATTCGCACGGCCCAAAGCAATGCCGAGTTACTCACAAATTTCGATGAGTTCCTTCACTTTGAAGTTCTCCATCGTTCACACTAGCCTCTTGCTGTTTGCCCCTGTTAAGAATTTACTTGCCGTATCCACTAAAATCAACTAGCAAGACGCGCAAGCGATTTGTAACGCTCCTGTGTTTACACCCTCCGCATTAACTTTGGTTTCAAAGCGCTTCGACTTGGCTTGAAACGATCGAAGCTCACTCTAATGCTTCACACAGCCATTCTCTAAACTATTATAACCTGAGCTAGAGTGGTCTGGTGAACTGAGGGGGAAAACATCAGGCACTCACCGCATTAATGTCCCTGACGCCGGCCGATCTCGCAGCTGCCAACTACTGTTGCGAAGCGCGCCTCCGACGACGTTACAAAGGGCGCCACGAATCTCACCGCTGCAACCACTGTTCCGAAAGACGGCGACGCCAACACGGTCCCGAAGGCGCCACTGCTTCAATTCCGCCGGGAAGGTCACCAGGCATATCGTAGCGTATGTTTCTCAGCTCGCGACTGCTTCTGTGCAGAGCTGATAGACGAGCGGACGAGACGACGGTGAGTTAAACAAGGTTTATGTACAGCATGCATATACAGAGGCGTTACAAATTCGGCACTGGGGCCGACAGCTTAGAGACCCAAAGAGCCGAACTCTTTTCTTTAACACATAGGTCTGCTCTGACACACAAGTCTACTGCTCGCGACGCGCCGCAGGGCCTCTTTTATATGCACCGGGTGGATTCTTTGAGTAACCAAATGTCCAACCAGAAGCGCCGCTGGTCGTGAGGTCAGACTTCTCTAATGATGTCGCCGCTGGGCCGTGTCATTCTTTCTCATCGAATCTGGAGCCGCTGCGTTGCACGTGGCTGCACCCAAGGACGAGTGACGTCGCCACGCATTGCGTCAGACTCGCCAGACAGGAAGGCGCCGGCTCGCTGGCGGACGTGACTCACTGCACGTGCGCGGCAGAAAGGCGCCGTCGCGTGATGGCACCGTTGAGTTGTTCATCGCGTCAGGTGGGCTCGCGTACTGGCCTTGACACAGATTTTCTTTTTCCGAGGCATGGACGTTCGCTGCGGACTCGCAGGCATAAAACTACCCATTTTTGGAAACATTACATATGTACTTCTTTCATACAACCGTCACGTCAGATTTACGTCAATTGCGGTGAGGTGCCATGCGCTGAAATTTATTATAGTAGCAGTGTCAAGGGTGCAGCACCTTCGCGAGCATCAGCGCTTCATATCATCTTCTAGTGTGGCTAAAACACATTTTCAGCTGATATCGTTGTGCAAGTGAAAAATTGTATATATAAACATCTACAACTCTTCACATATGTCTGTGCGTGCAACATTTGTACATATATTTAGCGTCATTTGATGACGTGTCGCTCAATAAAAAAAACACAACACGGTCGCTATCTCTGCACGTGCTTCGCATAAAGCTGATTCCCAGGTACGTGGGATCTGTTGAATTTTTTTCTTCACAACATAATCACCTAATTGTCCAATAAAATTAAGGTGCTTCGCAAAAGAATCTAAGTCCTTTATTAGACTATATATAAAATAAACAATCAGTGACGTAACAGAGCAAAACCTTCGTGGTTGGAGGGAAGGCTGAGAGCGCGAGGCATTGCAGACTTTTCGAGTCAAATAAGCGGCAATGACTAATATTCAAACCCCCATTGCTGTGCCATGAACTTGTCACCAAAACTGTGCTTTATTATCCTAATGCCTAAATTACAAAAGCAGCAGAGAAAAAAATTGGTTTATTTTGCAGCCTTAAATGACAACCTTTTTATTTTGAATCCGCATTTAAATGCTCTATAATGCAACACTCATTCATAATTTTCGGTATTTCGCGATCGAATTCCTGACGTGCCACATAATCAAACATCTTGGAACAAAAAACAACAACAAAAATGTCCTTCACAAAGACGTAACATGTCATGGGTTCAAGAAGTGAGAAAATGTACACGAGGTTGAACTTACGATCAGGCGAGAAAGAACTAAAAAAGCGAGAGCTGTTGCACGCGCTTCACTCTTTCCGCCATTAGTGGCACAAACCTTGGTTCCTTACACAAGAGGGCATAGATTTTTCATGTTGCAAGCTGTGTTCCCTGTGAATATTTCACAGCCGGCATTAAAGACGGCATACTTTTGTGACTTCCTTGTTCGAAGTCTTAAATGCAGAACATTTCTTACTCACACGATGTCGTGCTTCGGCCTCGGTGGTGGTGCCATCTATACCCCAACTGCGCATGCTCACGTCTCGTGTCGGCCCAGGATGACACCCTTGAAACGGCCGCTTCTCTCCCACTCCTTCGCCCTGCAAGGCTGACGCATGCAGCCTCTGCTCATAAAAAAACGACAGCTCGCGCTGCCGTTCATGGTCCACGCCGTTTATGAAGGCACTGAATCGCATGTTCGGATTTCAGGCAAGGGCGTCTTAGATTTCGCTTCAAGTTGAAGGCAACACTTCTCCATCATTCAGTAATTAGAAATAAAAAGGCGGAAAAAATTAAGCATTGCAAAACCATACTAAATACCGCAACACTCATGCGACAACCCCCCCCCCCCCTCCTCACCTAAACTGCAGCGTCTTTGCTTGAGTTCCCACCAGAGATAGATGCGGGCGGCAATTTATAGGAGTGAATCTCTTTTTAGTGTAACCCTGCACTGCACCAGGTGGAACCGGCAGAAGTAGAAAACGAGAAAAAAAAAAGGAAGGCAGTAGCTACTGAACAGATAATGAATGGCACTGTCTCACAGAAGTACATACAAAATGCAGTTAAGTGAGAATATTCTACATGGTGCTGTGCCGTTAAACTCCGATTGGCTGCTACTCCGGATTTGCCTATAGGTGCGTGGGAAGGTAGTGAATCTCTCCATCTCTTGGATCGTCTGCGTACGTGGTGAATCCTTGTTGGGGCATACACGAAGCAGAGCGAGGGCCGCGAAGTGACGGCGATGGTCCTGCTCTGGACAGGAGAACCGGGAGGAAGTTGTGTGTCTCGGTGCTGACGATCACAGCGTCGCTTTTGAGATGCTTCCGTTGTTTTGAGGCGTTGACGAGCAACCTCTCGGGCGTGGGCGACCAAAGGGATTGATTGATTAATTGATTTGTGGAGTTTAACGTCCCAAAACCACCATATGATTATGAGAGACGCCGTAGTGGAGGGCACCGGAAATTTCGACCACCTGGGGTTCTTTAATGTGCACCCAAACCTGAGCACACGGGCCTACAACATTTCCGCCTCCATCGTAAATGCAGGCGCCGCAGCCGGGAATCGAACCCACGACCTGCGGGTCAGCAGCAGAGTACCTTAGCCACTAGGCCACCGCGGCAGGGTGCCAAAGGGATTGCATCTAGGGATCGGTCGTTGAGAATTCGACACGAGGTGGTAGCAACGTGTAGAACATCAAGAGATGTTCGCTGCTTTATTAATTTTAATATGGCGAAAATCTGGTGTTTTTATGACGGGGCGAGTTGTAAGCAAAAGTTGTGTGTGGTAAAGCGGTGCCCTAATTAGGGTGATTGCTGGAAAGTTACTTGGCAAGCATGTCAGTTAGAGTGCGGTTCGGTTGCTCCGTAAAAAAAAAAAAATTACGGCATGGTGACATTTTCTCTGTATACTTCGCTTAACATGGATTCCCAAGGTGCATGGGATCTGCCGATATTTTGCTCTATAGATCTTAGCATTGTGTTTTTTTTCGCCGAAATAACTAAGCGTCATATATGTATACAGTATAGTGCCTAACCAAGGATGCTTTGACTCATTACCAGACGAATTAAGGCCTGCTTGATTATGTTTGCCTTTTATTTGCGGTATTCACACTGTAAGAATCACTGCTTTATACTTGCGAAGCAGCCTTGTCGTTATCGGCAAGTTTGCAACTCATGCCTTTGACGACAGCAGATAACTGTCAAAATACATCACAGCATGGATTGAAGAAATTTGCTATCATTTGCAAATTTACTGGTGTGAGTGATATTGTCAAAAATGCAATAAAAACTTTCTTTAGAAAGAAACTATTATTCTTCTACAGCCTTATGGAGGAGGAAGTGCTGGTTGTACTGCCTTATTGAGGCAGTCTTAGTTGAATGATACAATGAATGCATCAAATAATAATGTCGGGCTGATGAAGTAAAGCGACAATTTACTTATTTTCAGAATGATGTTTGCTTGGAGGCTGGGTAGCAATCCCAAAGAATACATGTACATATTTTTTACCTGTCACGAATGTGTAATATGGCATATATTGTCAGGTTATATGAAATCAGGTTCATTGCATCAGAAGACTGTGTATGCATGAAAATATCTGTAATACATATACCATAGACTTCACTGTCGTGACGAAATCTCCCTAATTCACAGCATTTCTTCGATGGTATACCCATGGTCACGTGTCTTCTGGTGAGTTCGCCAATGTAAACACGTGTGAGAACGTTTGTTGATGACGAAAGGCCGTCTGACATTGTTCAATGAGTTAACGATTCTTTACTAACAAATATTATTTCTTATCTGTTAGCGCCAATTGTCGTAGTAGTATCTTTAGCTTGCTATTTGCTGATTAAAAGTGTAGGCGACTCAATCCATACTATAATATGCCTAATCATTCTGTTTTTTTGTTATACTCAGGGAAGTTGAAGATGTGGTGTACAAACCAAGAAGAGTACGTGGGCCGGCGCGAACATTTACAGCTCTCAACAGCAGTAAGCAATCATAGTTTCCTTCTTTTCGGATGACATGCTTCCAGCTAACTCGTTTTTGAAGAAAAATGCGCGAAAAAGGTAGACGACAAGAAACACGGACAGCACAAGCGCATACTAACAATTGAATTCATTATGAGAACATCACGAATAAGACACTCGAAAGAATTGATAAATCTCACGTGCGTTCTCAGAAACCGAAACAAAATTTTACATTTCGGATGTTTTACTCACTCCAGTTTCAGTGGTAAGAGCTTGCCCTGTTCTTTTCTTTGTTCATGTAGGTTATAGCGGATTTTTCTGAAACGGGTAACTATTCATTTCCAGTTCAGTTCACAAAGCTTACCAGCTTTCTGTCTGATTAAGTTTTGTGAAGGGGTTCAAATTTCGCGCATTTATCTTACACAGAGCTAACCACTTCAATCACCTCATTTCCCGTCTTCGTCCACAAAATTGAGCACCTCGTAAAGAAACGGGCTCGGAGAGGCAGTACGGAACAATTTGCAGCCACGTTCGTTTCATTATTGGTAGATGTTAGCAGCCACCTTCCACAGAAAACTATACCAGCGAACACATACGCCTATAAGAAGACGGTTATTTCTGAAAAAAAAAATCGCAGGACATCAAGAACCAAATCACCACTCAAGCACTCCGTTATGATGGTTTACCAGTGAAACTGAAACTTGCGGCCGTATGTAGTTGTAGACGTCGGCACCGAAGGCGTTCGAGAAACTCCCGCGGAAGGCGGGCGTCGGCCTCGGCGAACGTGTTTTCGTCGTTGCCTCGTTGACGCTGCCGTACTCGCAACACCGTTTCCTCAGCTCGCCGTTGCCGCACGCAGTAAATATCTTGATTAAGCTCGGCGTCGAGATTAGCAGCTTCAGCCCATCATTGGTGCTTGCAATTTGCTTCGCGAGATAGCACGGCTTGTCAGACTGCCGTATTCTCTGCACCCCGTGGCTGGTTGCGCTTGGCCATTCGAGAGTGCTGCCTAGCCCGTACCGCTTCTCTCTTTTGCCTGTTTACCTGCTTAACGGCATTTCTTAATTGTGAAGGGATGCGAGCGTGCAGACAGGGTGCGGCCGACTTGGGTCCTTTACCGCGAATCCTTCTCATCTAGCCTACATTCCTTTCTCTCTGCCAATCCCCATCTCTCTTCAGTGCAGACGAGGTCACCTCCACTGAGAAAAGTCACTGCACTGTTTACAGCGAAAAGTGTTTTCAGGTCACAACAACGGTCCGTTGGGCTGCAGTTGTCGGCCGCCGCTGCTGCCAATGTCGGCAGCCACCTTCGCGCAAATTAAGAAATTGTTACTTAAATAAAAAAAAAGAACCATGGCCTCAATGAGTTTCTAAACCAGGTCCACAGCGTATTAGCCCAGCATTCTACCACTGAGCCACAAACTCACCTTAGACAGGCTTGATGGGCTGAAAGGAATCGCCTTAGTACGAGTAATAAAGTGTTTTGTCACAGCAAAACAACAATCAGGTGTCACACAGTGCGAATTAGCCGCATACGATTGTTAGCTCTCATGGCCGTTTCAATATTGGTATCAATACCAAAATTGATGTGGCACAGCATGACAATATGGCGAGCGTAAGTGACTAGTCATATCATAAACATTATGACATGTGTGTCATGAATGTCATGATTATTTACATTTCATGGCCTTGCTGCTCTTGTGGTGATTTTGCCCACACGACATATTGGAAAACTGGCAAGGTGTGGCATGACTGCAAGGCGAATACAAGTGACAGACCCTAACGAGAAAATCATGACATGCATGTCATGTAGGTTAGTTGTAACTACATGCGACGCTCATAGTGCGCTCACGGTTATTTCGCTAGCTCACATATACGAAATTTGGTATTACGGGACGTGAGTGCTTGACAAATGTGAATGACATGTCCTAATATGATAATCATAAAATGTAAGTCACGTACAGCATAACAATAACTGCGCCTTGTAACGTTGTGCTGACCTCAAAGTGATATATGAGGCTTCCTTATTCGTGCTTCACATATCATTGATTCGCACTGCGCGTGTGATCTGCCAATTTTTTGACAGCAAACGCTGTATATGGCTAGAAAAAAATGTTCCTGCTTGATTTCACGTTCCTGCATGATTTATTATTAGCATTACCTTGCTTGTTAGCATCTGGAAACCCTGACGGCCTCGTAGTTATGTGGGTTGCCTCACCGACACGCAGTGAGTCTTTTGCACATTCGTCAAAAAAAATTATGCAGTAGTGGACTCCACACAAACATAATCTGCTGTAGGCATTCTAGGATAGTTTCACTCATATTCGATGTTACACCAGAGACGTTCGTTCTAGTGCGGGAATACTAAGGCGTACATAGTGAACCGGTTATTGACTGGAAATTTAGACGATGCGCATGAAACCTATTAAATAATTCATTGTGTTCTTTCGATCGAATTGAAGCTTATGAGTCATTCATTTTTTACACTTCGGGTGCTAAAACACAGCAACTGATCATGCGACATCTTTTTACATAACACTCGACCCACTTGTGGGACAAACACGAATATTATTTCAAACATTCGATGTAATATACAGTGATCTATATCATAATCATAATCATCAACATCATCATCTATATACCCGTAATTATCATCATCTTCATCAACCTGAATATATCTACTGCAGGACAAATGCCGCTCCCATGTTACGCCAGTCAACTCGATCCTATCCTTGCTGCTGCCATTTTATACCCACAAACTTCGAAATCTCATCTGCCCATCTAAATTTCTGTCTTCTCCTAGCCCACTTGCCTCCTCTGGGAATCCAGTTAATTACCCTTAATGACCAGCGGTTATCCTGTCTACACGCTACATGCCCGGCCTATGTCCTTTTCTTCTTCTTGATTTCAACTATGATATCCTTCACTCCGGTTTGTTCCCTAATCCACTCTGCTCTCTTTTTGTCTCTTGTGGTTACACCTTCCATTTTCTTTTCCATTGCCAGCTGCATCGTCCTCAATTTAAGCTGAACCCTCTTTCTAAGTCTCCCGGTTGCTGCTCCGTAGCTAAGTAATAGCAAGATTCAGCTGTTACATAACTACCTCTTCAGGGATAGTGGCAATCTACCTGTCAAAATTTCAGAGTTCTTGCCAAACGTGCTCAACCCCGTTCTTATTCCATATCATGACTACGCAAATAATCACATGAAATTATTCTTAAGCCCATGTTCTCAGATTTGAAAGCACGTTAAAGAACCCCTGGTGGTAAATATTTACGGAGCCCTCCACACTTGCATCTCTTATAATCATTGGGCAGTTAAACCCAACATATCAATAACCACTCAAAAATGGGCATGAAAACCTCGCGGTGGGGTATTATGTGCAAGAGTTTTCATTATCTTTCATCTTCATTTCTGAAACAGGTGGATATTTGATATATACAATCCACTTCAATTATACATCAAAGTACTGCGCTATTATAAGAAAGGAAAATCACACAAAAGAAGGTAAGTAATCACCGAAGCACAATATTCAAACCAGAGTGTTTATTTGGTGCTTGTTGAAGAAATCTGGTGCTTGTTGAAAAAAAATGAGAAACACTTCGACCCACAAGACAAATATATGAGCAGTATTGCATCGACAAAAACATGATATGTGGACGAAAGTGCTTTAGATAGCTCTCCTGAACATTGAGCTTGCATACTTTACAGAGAAAGCTATTATGAGATTCAACTTAGGTCACGCGCAACGCCGTAGTTTTCCGCCGCCACCGCCGGTGTCCATAGCCCTGTCATACGAAAAAAAGAAAAAAAAAAACAGTACCACGGACACAGCAGCACTTGAACCCCGATCTGATGCGCATCAGCCAGTATTCTACCACTGAGCCACGCTGGTGCTTTGGACTTGCTCGCAAACTTGCCTTAGGTAGGCTTGATGTCAGTAAAGGAATATTGGTTAATATGAGTGAACATCGTGACATATGGACGGAGTGCATGATGATGACTGGTGCGAAGCATCAGTTATTCCGTCCACACTTCCGTCCGTTCGTTCATTCTTGCTTCCGTCGGTCCGTGCGCGCGTCCTTCCGTATGTGCGTCCGTCTGCGTGTCCTTCTGTCCCTCCGTGCCTCCATCCATTCTTCCAGCCTCCCATGCGTCCGTGCACTCGTCACCTGTGCGTCTGTCTGTGCATCCGTCTGTCTGGGCGTGCGTCCATCTATGCGTCCATCCATTCGTCCGTGCGTCCATCTGTGCATCTGTCTGTCGGTCCAACCGTGCGTCTTTCCAACCGTGCGTCTGTCCATCCGTCCGTGCATGTAGTGAGCACTCTATGTACCGCCATTTTGCATGGTTTCATAATAAATTCATCATAGAGAAGTGCCGCCATCCAGCTGTCATTCCTAGGACTAAACGAGAGGTGGCATGGCTAGGCTAGATGAGCGACACGTCCAAACGTCATAATCATAACATGCATTTCATGTAAATCATTACTACATGCTACGCTCATAGCACGCTCGCGGCCGCTTCACAAGCTTCGTATATACCAAAGTTGGTATGAGGTGACGTTAATAAATTACGAAGCTAAATAAAACGTGCAAACATGATAATCTTGACATGGAAAACATCTGCGGCATATTTTACCTCCGCTTGCTAACGTTGTGCTGATGTTAAAGTGACCTATCACCCTCACTCATTCCTGCTTCGCATATCATCGATTTCCCCTGTACGTGGGATCTGCCATTTTTCTTTTACAGTTTTGCGAAAACGTGGTTCTTTACCTAATAGATTGACTTGACCGACTGGCCTGACTTCAAATAGCAGCTTCACCAAGCCAATCAGCTCTTGCGAGGAGGAGCCTCGATGCTCGCAAACAGCATTCCAGCGGGATGTATTCGTGACTCCAGCAATTCATGTGGCACCTAGTGGCAATATAACCACCTAGTGGTCAAAAAAGTCAGATTTTTAGTCAGATTACCACCTAGTGGCAATCTCACTGATATTGTAGCCGCCAACAACTCCAATCTTGCTAGTGTGATCTTTTTGATTGGAGCGACTCTACCCTTTGCAATGAATAAATTGGCTTCATTGCTTCCATCGGAGTATTCTGCTACAATGTATGTTGCTGCTCCATATGCCATTGGACTCGCATCGGAGACCACGTGTAGAGTCGATGCTTTCACTTCAGCTTGCCTGTTGTCATAGCATCTGTTAACGGTGAAGTCATCTAAGTGCTGAAGCTCCTCCGACCAGTCCTTCCAAGCTGATCTATGCTGGCTTGGTAACGGGTCATCCCATTTCAGTTTATTCATCCAAATTTTTTGCAGCAATATTTTTGCTCTGACTGAAAATGGTGTCTAAAAACCTAACGGGTCATATAGCTTTGCCGTGTCCTGCAAAACCTGTCTTTTTGAGAGTTGTCTCATGTCCTTGTCATTTCGCCATGTAGTGTCGGGAAAGCTCAACAAGTCGTCTACGAAATTCCATTTCAGTCCCAAAATCTTGATTTGTCCCACTTTTCTTATCCCTCGATCCAGATCCTCTCCTTCTTCATCAAAGAGTTTTCTTAGCTCGGCGTCATTTGAAATCCATTTTCTTAAATTCATTCCCGCATAGCGAAAAATATCTCGTGCTTCTTTGTATATCTTTGTCGATGTCGAGTATTCGTCGGCTCCTAGTAAAACGTCATCGACGTAGATTCCTTTCCAAAGTTTCGCCACAACTGCAGGATATTTTTCTTCGAATTTATGCAAATGTCGATGAATCGTGCCCGCTAGAAGGAAGCTACTTGGTGTAGTTCCGAAAGTAACCCTCGTCATCCTCCATGTTTTTATCTTCGGGGTTGGCATATCTTCGCTGTGTATTCTTTCCCACCACATGAATCGCAGTGCGTCTCGGTCATTTTCATGTATCTTGGTCTGCAAGAATGCTTTTTCCACGTCGGCTGACATAGCGATCTTGTGATGTCTAAAGTTCATCAGCAAACTTGTGATGTCGGGGTTTATAGGTTTGGCCCCTTTTCCAAGTTGTCATTTAAGGATTCACCTGGATTCTGGCTTGACGATGCGTCAAAGACGATCCGTATTTTTGTCGTTGTTCGGTCCTTCCTAATTACTGCTTGATGCGGCATGTAGTATATAAATTTGTTCTGTATATCGGATCCAGCATCTTCTTCGACGTTTTCTGCTATTTCTTGCTCAAAATACTCTCGAATAGCTTTGTCATAGGCTAGGAGTTCATCTTTACACTTGCATAATTTTTGGTCACCTGGATAAGCTTCTTCTCTGCAATGGTGTTGTTGTCGTCCAATGTCACGTTTTCCTTCCATGGTAGCCGCACTTGGTATCTTACTGCCTTGAACTCCATTGTTTGTCGGACGTAGTCTAGCACATGTTCATCGTTCATCTTTGTTGCTGGTTTCTCCTTGATGCCCATGTTTTCCAAGCCCAGAATCTCTGCAGTTCGTCCACAGTCGTGTCCGACTTGGCACTGACCTTGAGTACCATAACCGTCGATGATTTCATTGGCACACAATGAAGTCCTACAGGACCTTGGACTGTCCATCCCAATATTGTTTCTATTGCCATTACTTTTGGATGAATCTCGCAAATGTGACCAGTGACTACAGTCCAGTAATAATCTGCTCCAATTAATATAGAAGTTTCCATATTTTTTCTTTCCTTGTCCGTCTTCTGGTTGTTATCAGCCAAACAAATTCCCATCGATCTTGCTCTTTCGTGTATTGTCAACGGTGGCGATGGTAGCACGTCACAGGATATAACTTCTATCTCCAGTGCCTCAATCGTGACTGGCTCTGATGTGGGATCCTTCCTCACGCTGACCTCGATGACTTTCATGTCTAATTCCATTTCTCCTCCTCCAAATGACCCTACAGTAATCCTTTCGGATCTTTTTACCTTGCACGCTAGTTTTCTTGACAATCTTTTGAGGATGAATGTCCTCTGACTCCCGTTGTCGAGCAAAACCCGTGCATAGCACCCGCTGTCTTCTCCCTCCGTCCACGAAAAGGCTGTCTGCAGTAGTATGCACTTGTGTTCATCAGACTGCTGTGCGTGCATGTTGCAGGACTTCCTGGTGTCTAACCGATCAGGTTGCGCGCTTTTAAGCACTTGCTCAACATCATTACCGCTTTGCTGCTGTGCCGACTTTCCTGCAGGCGTACGTGGTCGACACATGGATGTCGCGTGCCTTCCCTTGCATGTTTTGCAGCGTACGTTAGCGCCGCATATCTTCGCCGTGTGGTGAGGTCTGGTGCATCTGAAGCACCTTCGTTCCCATTGCAAGGCTTCTTTCTTCTGTTGCATACTAATGCTTCTTCTGCAATCTTCCGTGTAGTGTCCAGTCATCTCACAAAAGATGCATTTTTTCATCGAGGTGCTTTGAAGCGCAGATGTTCTAGTCCGGCTCATACTGTGCGGTGACTGGGTAACGTCGTATTTTTCCTCTCGAGTTTCTTCTCTGCTGCGTATATGTTTAAAAACTCCATAATTTCTTTCAAACTGCTCGTGCTGTCTCTTGACGCTGAGTCCGATTCCATAGTTGCTGGTCTGTTGTCACCTTTCTTTAACTCCTTCATCTTCATCTCAATCATCATATCCACCGGTAGCGCAGATTTTACAACAGGAGCTATCACTGTGGCATAACTATCCATTTCCACTCCTAACGACTGCAGTGCTCGTGTGTTCAGTTGCAACTTTTGGAAGAGTTTCTTCAACCCATCTACATCTTTAGGACTCTTCACTGCTTCCAAGTTTGCAAGCTCTTTTATGTAGGTTTCTTTTAAACTATCTTCTCGTCCAAAGGTTTCTTTCAAAAGAGCGACTGCAAGCTCGTAATTCTGATCAGAAAACTGCAAACCTTCTATGAGGGACGCAGCCTCCCCGCTGAGAGACGCCAGAAGGTAATTAAATTTTTGATTCTTCGGCATGTTCACTCTGTTATGCACCGATGTCTCGAACTGATGCCAAAACCTTGGCCATGCTGTTTTTTTCCCATCAAACTTGATCATCTCAAGACGTGGCAACTTAACAAGCTCTTGCGTCTCCGAGATTTGGTTAGTACCTTGCACTGAACTCACCTGTTCTGTGACTATTCTCGTAGTCAGTTGCGTCGCTTGTTCTAACTCGCGTAATCGCTCCTCTATTTTTGTCGTTGCTGCGACGACCTTCATCTCATAATGCAAAACTCTTTCAAATTCCGCCTCCGCGTCGTCTTCTTCTATGAACGGTTCAATCTGTTCGTTAACTTCTCTTAGCGTCTGTGACACGCTCTTCATCTGGTTTAGAGGCGTCATAAGTTGCGCTCGATCGGCGTCTTCTTCTATCTTCTTATCAATTTCGTTCGTAAGCGTCGTCACATTTGCTCGAAGCGTCTTCCGCTTCTTCGATAGGACCTCTTTATTCATGCCTAAAACGTGTTGAAAGAGCTCTTGCCTTTTTATGTGCGTCTCCAACAGTCGTAGGTCGTGGTCCTTCTCTCGACGGTTCGTC